ATGTTATTTATTATTTATTCTACTACTGACAGTTGTATAAAGGTAGTAAATCTAGATGAAAATTGTGGCAGAACTTAAATTAACAGTGACACTATCGCGATTTATCGAAAAACACTCTAAAATAGTTGGTTGTGTAGCGTGCGGTAGATATCGGCAAAAATCAAGTGAAATAATGGAACAACTTTTCGCTAGTAAGTGACTATATAATATGCGTACGTGTAGTAAATCGATCACTTATGAAATTCACTTAAATTAACTAATTATATATTTTTTCTTGCATTTTTGCTTTTATTTACTACTTATCAAAGAATTTAGATACGTCAATTTGACTTACCTGCTTCAGTAGCGTATCGGATGTTTGTATTAATAAATAATTATTAAAACTTATCTATTTTTATTATAATAATATGTTTTTATAACAATTTTAATTACTACCAACATTTATTCACAACGAAAAATAAAAAAAAATACTGAGTCTACTGCACGTCTACCCTACATCATAGTTTTACATTTTTTAAATAAAATTAGAACGGCACTGATAAACCGGAATTTAAGTCGGCCATATTTGAGTCCCATCGGGGTGGACCTAAGATTTTTGATATTCTCCTTCTTTAGTCTTCTTATTCAAAGCGCACAACAAATGTCTAGCAAAAACAAATTTATCGTGTAATTTAATAATGTACCTACTTTCATATTTTTAATGCCCCTTCTATATATCATTATTTGTTGCTACAAAATATTTTTGTTTGAAATATAGATTTATATTTTTATTTCTATATCATGGTTCTGAAAATAAAAATATATAAATTAATGTGAGTAGAACGCGTTCTTATAAGTTTAAAAGCTCAACAAAAAAACATATATTTTTAGAAAGGCTCTTCCTAGCCAACATGGCGGATTTTTAATTCATTATTTTATAAAATTGGTATGGAGTCGGACACAAATCATCTCCTGTATATCAGTATATTTGCGTCTAAAAAGAGAGAAACTCGTGTTTCGAAAGTGAATCGACAATAAATGGAAACCTTGTTTTCAAAATGTTTCGATTTGGCGCTATCTGTGCAGAAATTTCCAACTAGTCACCAATCAACACTGCCAATCAAAACTTGTGATCAAAATAATTAAAACATTTTTATTTACTTAGTATAACACAATCAAAACATAAAAACATGTATTCCATTGTGGAAAAAGAGAAAAAAACGTTTGCTAGTAACATTTTCCTTCGGCCTCCTGCAGAACAAAATCAACCAAACTGCAGAACAAAATCAAAAGAATAAAGTAAGGTTATGTTCTCATATATGACAGAATATCAAATAAATTATGGAAACTTTTCAGGCACAAAACGGGTACGAAATCTGTAACTGTGAGCCACATCTGTTTCTTAAAAGTTTGGAAAATTTGTGACACTAAAATCTTTATTGTTATAGCTTATATAGCGAAACCATATTTTGGTAAAATGTTTCGAAACAAAAAGCGATTTATGTTACGAAACTTACGTATTAAAAATGCGTCAAATTAGTTCCATAACTTTTGTGTCTTGACACAAACACCATCATTGTTTCGAAACTGTTTCGCAATGTTTCTCAGCAGAGATTTTGTGTCTAAAAATGCTACATGTGTGTGCTCGATGGCATAAAGTTTTGACTATTCCTACCTCGGTTACTTAGGATTGGTTCCAAGTCGTGCTAAAAATATTCTATTATTTATTCTAATACATACTAGAAGTCAGGAATATTCAGAATTAATTTAAATAGGTAGTAAATACACTGTGATACGCCACTGATTGGCTGGCTTATTGACGTAGGAATATTCTTAACGTATCGCCGCCGGCTCTGCCATCGCTAACACCTTCTGCCGCTTTTCCCGTCATCCATCATTTTTCCTATTAATTTGCTCTCGATTTTCACACACGATCGCAATAATTTACTATTTAACGCCGATTTGCCCGCCAGGGACACGGATTTGATGAGGTTCGTTTCAGGGAAATTATTATCTTCCTAACAAGCAACGCGTTTAAAGCAGACTCAGCAGAGTCAAGCAGCGTTTAAAAGGATCAACTCAGTATCCATCAATTCGAAGTTGGTCAAAGAAAAAGGCTCATGGCTTGATTGGTTATCTTTCTCCATTTGTTTCTGTCTTTCGCCTTTATTCTCCACCCATCCACTCTTATCCTTCTTAAGTCCTCTTCAACATCCTTTTTCTATCTGGTTCTCGGTCTACCCTCTTCTCTTTCCACCTATTTCAAGTTTGATTATCATACTAGGAATTCTTGCTTCAGCCATTCTTTCAATATGTCCCAGCCATCTCAGTCTTTGTGCTCTGGCTACTCCCATTATACTCGGTGCCCGATATAGTTGCTTTAATTCTTCATTTGTTCTTCTGGTTCATATGTTTGTAAATTCAGAAATTGTAAAACCATGTATGCCTCCAGATGCTGTCCCTCCAGTGCTTGAAATAGGCTCTGTCATTACAACGGCTCGTTCTGGAACACTTACAGCACCGTGAATCTTTTTCACAATCTCTATTTTATTGTTGATGGACTCGTCGATATATCCTGCCGCAACCGTGGCAGATCGCCATCCTCCGTGTCTTTTTAACGTTGTCATGTTCACTCCTGCATTTGCCAGTAATGTAGCGGATGATCTTCTCATACAATGGCCAGTGTATTGCTCAGGATGTTGTAGGCCCAAGTACGTAGCAATTTTTGATGGCATTCTTGAAAAAATATTGATTCCCACGCATTTACCATTTTTATAAAACACAAAAAAGCTTTTATGGGGAGTACCCTTTGGTCTCAAACGTAGGTATTTTCTGCAAAATTCCACAAGATTGACAGGAAATCCTTCTAAAAAAATACTTCTCGTAAAACTTTGTGGTTCCTTGGACTTCGTATCGGGTATCATAACATACGAGACTTTTCTGGCAGTATTTGTGTTGTAGCTTCCTATGACTGGTTAATAATTTCTTGCGGAAGATCTTCCTGAATCTTTTTTCCTCCAAAAATCTTCCTCTGTATTTTTCTTTCCCATATCTCTAGTCTCGAACTTTCCGTTACATTGAACGTCCACGTTTCACATGCATACAGCACTATTGGTCGTATAATTTTTTGGTACATTCTAATTTTTAAACTACTAGAGATGTTCTTACTCTTAATATTTTCTGTAGTGCGCTAACAAATACAGGGTGGCCCATCGAAAACGTTCCGCAAGGCATAACGGCCAGAGTATTTTTTTTCCAAAAAATCCAAAAACACGTCAATTTTGTTTGTGAGGGGGACAACTTTTGCCCCAAAAATGATTGCAAAATCTTCAACCCTCTAAGCGGGGGTGTCATCCCCCAACTTTTTTCAAATGAGAAGGGGGGCCAAGTGGTGCCGCAATGAAAAGAGCTTTCTATTCCCTATATTTCCGCGCTTTGTTTTTGGAAATCGGTCCAGTCATTGAGAAAATATGAAGGAATGAAATTTGAGAAGTTTATTTAAACATTTATCAGAGTAAATGATAAGGATAAGTTCCTTCGACTAATTTGCTGTTTTTTCTTATTATTTCTCGATGTTTACGCATTTTTTCACTTGCAACAAGGTTGAACAATCAGGTGCGGTAGTTGCTAGATAGCTGATGTGTGACTTGTGCGTTGAAGTTCTCAATATCGTTAAACTGACCTACAATAGGAGTTCCAAAAATACCAGCCCACCAGGCGACCTGGTATTTTTTTTGTACTACATTTTTCAAACGGTTATTGCTCGAAATACATTCGATAAATATAAATAATGAATAGAACCTTTTTTGGAGCAAATTTTATAAGGAATATTTTTGACAAGAATAAAAATTTTTGACGAGAAAAACGAGAAAAACCACCGCAGTGCGTATTGGGGGTGGTTTTTGGGGGTGAAGCTCACACTTTACAATTAGGAACTCTTTTGATTTTAAAAAGTCTCCTTTTAGTACGTATAACCTCAACATATCAAAACTTTATAATTTTTTTTTCTAAATATGCTAACATCAACGTACTACGATATCAGCTCTTTCCTATCTCTTGCTAAGAGAACTAAATCATCTGCAAAAGCTGAATAGATTAGGCAAAGAAAATAAAGTCTTCCTACTCTGGTTACGAGTCCACCAAGGAATAGAGGGTAATGAGAAAGCAAACGATCTAGCTAGAAATGGACGGAACACTCCACTAATTTGACCAGAACCGTTTTTTTTTCGTTATTCTATTCTTTGATTCTACTCAACATAGGCAAGGAAAATTCTTATACAGTTCAGTGATTATGATAATATTTAATCAAAATGTGTAATTTCATTTTTGTTAAATAATCATGCTTTTAACATGTAAATGGAAATAAATAAATCTCATTCTTTTTTATCACTATTTTTATGATGTGAATAATTTAATTATTATGGTTCATACCAAATAAACTTTCAGTCACGTGATTAAACTTGGCCGGCACAGCGTTGCCCATTTTTGTATATTTTCTTTTAATCGAAATATTTTAGCAAACAAAAATAAATTAATTATAAAAATATAAACAGTTATTATTTACATGAACAAAACTCACCTTATTTACAGCACTTCAGGGACATAAAGGTTCATTACTACCGCTTTCCCGTTCAAAATATTTTAATAAAGTTGCGAAGTTTTTTTACGGCTATTAAGCTATCTTGTACACTTCGCACTAAAAGAGGTTCTAAAAAGAACAATGTCAATTTAAATCAAAACTCGTAATACAATACTAAGTACTAAGTCAAATGTCAAAACGAATGACAATATCAGGAAATAAGTAAATAAATGCGGCAATTTGTCATTTTTTACAGCAGAGCTGCCACCTGAATCCCCAGCGCGAAATCTAAATCCCAGTTAGTCAGCATGGCGCCTAACATGCCCATGGTTGGCAAAAATGAATTTAAAAATCGCGCTCTCGATTACGTAACTAAAAATTTAATTGATATAAAATATATTACACATTTTTCATAGGCTGTTATTTTTCTTTAAATTTTCAGGAATCTCCACGCAACGAGCTATCCCTAAGCAACGTTGCCGGAGTGTTCTATATCCTGATAGGCGGACTTTTCGTGGCCATGGGTGTGGCAACGTTGGAATTCTGCTACAAATCGCATTTAGAAGCTAAAAGAGCCAAAATTCCCATCAGTGACGCTATCAAAAATAAGGCTCGGTTGACACTGGGTGTTGGAAGAGACTGTGACAACGGAAGGGTAAGTTTCCTTTTATATTAGCACCATATCAGCATTACCTAGCTGAGTTTTTTTCATAAAGAAATAAATATGGGGCAAGTTATTTCATGTTACAATCGAAACCTGATCAATATCTCCATCTATCACAATTACAGCATAAAAAAATACACAACTCACACTCAAACCAACCACAACAACACGCGAACAATCTCAATCAACAACAAGCGCCCCCGCACCATCAGCAACCGGCGCAAAACAACTGTCACTCGACCGCTGTCGTGACGCGATGCCCGCGCCACCTTAACGCGCACGCCGGTAACTTGACCATGCCCCGAACGAACCACCAGGGCTACCAACATTTGCATCAGCCTCACCATTACACGCCGCACCATCAAAGGCAACAGAACGTTTTGAACGTGGGCATGGCCACGACTTAAACTAAAGTTAAATGGTGTGGGTCATTGTAAGTCACTACTGTATTTAACCTGGCACTAAATTTGGGCACACTTACTTTTCCCTGTACACCACACACTTCAACAAATTAGCACATGTAATATTTAACTGTCCCTCATAATTGTAGAACGTAATTTTGAAAGTTATTTAAAATACTTACTTATTATTATCTGAGGGCTTATGATCAAGAAAAATCACAGATCTTCCTGGGTCTGAGTAAGAACAATCTTCGGATTGTCACGGGATTTTTAACAGGACACTGTCTCCTCAATGAACACCTCAGTAGATTGAAACTAAGAAGAAACGGCGAATGCAGATTCTGTGGGGAAGATGGTGAAACACCAGTACACCTCATCACTGAGTGCGCCGAGACGACAACCATTCGTGCCATGAATTTTGGTACGACTGATATTGGAGATGGAGAACTACCCTCTATAAAACCGTCCCAGATACTGGCTTTTGTCAAAGCCCTGGGACTGTATGATGAGTTATGATTCAAGAAAGGGGGACACAATGGATCTGTAAGGTCGAAGTGATTAACCCCCCTCCCACTCATTCTAAATTCTAAAAAAAATTCTACTTATTTTAATGGATTGATGTTATGATATTAACTTTGAAGACAGCAGATTTTCTGGAGATACTTTGTATGTAAGGTATCCTCTGATCCCTGGAAAAACTTGGAACTCCGGAAGGAAGATACAGAATTGAATTTAAAAAAAAATGAAGAAAAACTACTTTAAAAATTGCAGACGATAGACTGTTTGGATATTCACTAGATCTTAGTAGTTATAATAAAAAAATATAATTTTATATACAGGGTGGTCTAAACTGTATTCCGGAAACTTCGGCAGCATATTCTGCAGACTGAAATAAGTAAAAAAGTTCCTATAAATGAATGTCCTAAAATTCTTAGTTTCGGAGATACAGGGTATAGAAGTTTCATTTTTATTTCGATTTTTTCCAAATAATTTCTGCAATAACGTCAATATTTCGATGAAAATTGGTATCTGGGAGTTTTTTGACATGAGAAATTTGATTTTGATGTCAATATGAGTCCTACTAGTAGAGGGGCGCCACCTACATATTTTTTAACTGGTTTGAAGAGTAATAACTTTTCGTCCGTACCTGTATAAAACTACAGAGTAAAAAAATATACATTAAAGACGTTTTTTACGTAAAAAAGTCTCTTGGTAAAAATCGCTACGAGTATTGGTTTTCGAGATATTTGGAATCGAAATTATCAATACCTGTCATCATTGACATAAATTAAACATGTTGACTAAATAGTTATTTGACTGAGATCATAAATTTGAAGGTGTTTGTGCCAAAAGTTCAACAGAAACTGTTTTATTATAATTTTTTTGCAAAAAAATTATGATTAATTTAAAAAAAAATAATAATTTTCCAAATTTATTATTTCAGTGAAATAACTATATCTACTCAACGTGTTTATTTTTCGTCAATAATGACATGTATTGACTATTTCCATTCTAAATATCTTGAGACCGAAAAAATCGAAATAAAAATGAAACTTCTACACCCTGTATCTCCGAAACTAAGCATTTTAGGATATACATTTATACAAACTTTTTTACTTATTTTTATATGCAGAATATGCTGCTGAAGTTTCCGGAATACAGTTCGGACCACCCTGTATATCAAAACCGATTGATTTGCTTATACCAACGAAAAAATCAAACCGAATGCTCACCACGCAGAACAATGCAATTGCCATTAATCCTGAGCAAGCTTTTCTCGACTAATTTGAACGATTGTGGAGATAAATAGGTTGCGAATACAGCACCAGCAGGACAGCGCAGCAGAATGCAGCGCGTTTCGAAGACAATGGCCCCCATTCATTATGCAAGAACGCCACTGTAGCAGGACGCCGACTGTGTTTATGTGTGTGTTTGTGTGTGGTCTCTGGACCGTCCCGGCTTTCCGAATCTGGACATTTAAATTCTAGTTCGTTGATTTGTTGTGTTGAAAAATATTTTCTCTTTTCAATTTAATTTTTCTTTAGGTAAAAAAAATAATTCATGACATCCTGCATAGATCATGTACATATTGGTCGAATGTTTTCTTCTTTAGATAAAGTGGCAATGATTTCAATAGGATTGAGTTTTTTTCATAAGTACTCTATGATAACTTAATTCTTCTGTTGATTTCTGGTAGTAGAGATCCCGAGCTGTGTACTAGTTGTCCCAAATATATATATCCTTCTACTATTTCCACTTTTGTGTTATTTATTAGAATGTCTTTTTTGTCTATTAGTTTGTTGTACATTTTTTTTTCCATAACGAGGGGCCGTCCACTGCCGGAAACACTGCGACCTATGAGGCCTATTGTGTTTGTCCCCCTTCTATATCTGCACCCATTCTCCTATCCCTGTGCCCTGCACTAGCTTATGCAGGTCCTTGATAGGATGGGCGCATAGTTCCTCGGGTTCTAGCCTAGCTTTCCCAAATAAAAAGTGTCGCTTGCGATCCAGAGCCTCGCAATGACATATTATGTGCTCTGCTGTTTCAGGATCTTTATCGCACAGTCTGCAGCAAAGACTACCTTGATACAGGTTGAGCTTGTACAGGTAACACTTGACAGCCACTTTATTCCTGCTAAGCATTAGCAGTTCTTTTTTCAGTTCGTTTTAGAGCTAGGTCCTTGGATAAAAGCCTTGCTGTGCCTGCGCCCCTGTCTGTTTCTCCAATGGACATGGTGCTTTTCCCTGATCCAGAGTCTTAGTGTACTACGGGCCATACATTTGATTATTCCCAGTACTGGCTCTGGACCAAGATTAGATGCCGATGATCCCTGCCTAGCTAGCTCATCGGCTTTTTCGTTGCCTTGGATGCCGCTGTGGCCCGGCACCCAGAATAATTTAATTAAGTTCCTTCGTACCAGAGCTCCCAGTTCACTCAGGCATTCCCAGACGAGCCTCGACGATACCTTTGGGTTCATAAGCGTGCCGCCTGAATGACGGAAAGTGATTACTCTTCAAAACAGTTAAAACACATGTAGGTGACGCCCCCTATAAATAGGAGTCATATTGACATCAAAATCAAATTTCTTATGCCAAAAAACTCCCAGACACCAATTTTCATCCAAATATTGACGTTACTTCAGAAATTATTTGGAAATAAACTAAATAAAAATGGAACTTTCACACCGTGTATCTCCGAAACTAAGCATTTTAGGACATTCATTTATACGAACTTTTTTACGTATTTTTATCTGCAGAATATGCTGCCGAAGTTTCCGGAATACAGTTCGGACCACCCTGTATATTTGCAAGGGTTTCTATGTAAGGCCTTATTTACAATACCTTGATTCGCTAGAGGGCGTTTATTATTGCCTTAGGATATATCGAGTCTAAAACCTTCTGAAAGTCTATAAAGGCCATGGCTACTAGTTCGTATTTTTTTGTTCGACTGATGTGTTTCTCTTAGTGTACTGAGTGACAATTTGACAACGAACAGCGTCTAATTGCCTCTTAATATTGCCTCTACCGATGATAGTATGAAAATTTGGCGAAACACGTCAATTTAAATATCAAGGGGGACAATTTTTGAGGTATTTGATGTCTTGTTACTTTCAACCCCTTGACCCCCAGGGCACCTACCCCTAAAATTTTAAATAGCAACCTCTTTTCTTTTACCATTTTTGTGTTTCTTATAGAATTCTACATAAACAGCATTATTTTTTTGTCAAAATTGTGATACTTAACCTCACAAATGAACGAAATGTATTTTATGTACATTAAAATTTAATGCATCTCCCTGAAAAATTATGATAATGATAATGAAATACTGGAAGGCTTACGTTTACTACTTTATGAATTTTTCAAAATGGGTTCCATTCTTCTCCAAGCACAAGTACAACCGGTATTCAAACTGTTCTTCGGCGTTTTGAAAAGTTTCAGGTGAATTTCAAGTGGCCCCATAAGAAAAAGTCCAGCGGTGTCGGATCTGGTGACCTAGGTGGCCATTCTATGGGTCCCCTTCTACCAATCCACTGCTCTGGGTAATGATTATCCAACCACTCTCTTACTGGGCGTACATAATGCGGAGGCGCTCCGTCCTGTTGGAAGTGCAGCAAATGCTCATCTAGAAAAAGATTTCCATTAGTGTCCCTTTGATTTTCCACCTCACGAATTATAAGAGGTTCTATAGCTGTATCTAACATTTCTGCATAAATTTCACCATTTAGATTTTCATTAATGAAGAGAGGACCGATGATACTATTGCCTAATATACCCGCCCAGACATTTATTTTTTGAGGGTATTGCGTATGCCCCTCTCTAATAATGTGAGGAATCATGTCGCTCCAATAACGACAGTTTTGTTTGTTGACCTTGCCATTTAAGTAAAAAGTGCATTCGTCACTGAAACAGATATACTTTATTAACCTGGGCTAAGTAATAATCTTGTCCGTCATAATTTCGCAAAACTCAATACGTCTGTCCGGGTCATCGTCCCCTAATTCTTGAGTAATTAGGAGTTTGTATGGATGAAATTTGTGAAGCTTTAATACTTTCTTGACTGCCTCACGCGACAGACCAGTTTGATCTG